CCAAGTTCCCTGTGATTCCGTATTAAGAATTATAATTTTGGACGAGAGAAATAACTAATGAAATTATTATATTTATAATATTATAGTAAATTTATAAGTCTGTAGCTACTTTTTCTTGTAGGTTTCCACAAGATGAAACTCTCCGAAAGGTACGGTGTAATGCAAATTTTTCATCTGCTAAAACATTAGTCCTCTGTAGTCAATATTTTTCGAAGTAATGGTTTTTCTATCCTTCTGGTGGCACAAATTGACAAAAACGAATAGGAAGGATCGCTTCCAACAAAATATCATTTTGCGATAACGAAATTAGTGACATTGTTCAATTATTTGTTACTCTAATGATTGCTTTGCATTCCCATCGTGCATATAATTATTCGTTTCAATACGTTTGATTCATTTACAACAGAAAAGAGGATAAACAAAAAATGCAGCATGAGGGTGTTTCAGTGCAGAAACACAATAGGAATAACTGACAGACAATATCAGTGAGGTATAAAATGACTAGCCAATATTCTAACATTGAGGACAGCAAATTATTTTAAAGCATGTATATATAGCATCTATATTAAAAATTATATTTCAGAAAATTCCATTGTGTAACGGAAACTTTTTAGACTTGTCAATCAATGGAACTTGAATTTTAAATGTTTCTCAGTTATTCAAGTCATCGAACACCAAACATGAAATTAACATAATTTTAAGAATCAATACCAATTCTGATAATGAAACGTTAACTCCAACTTCAATGATGGGAAACAAGCTAAATCAAGATTCATGGACTGTATCTGATTACACAAATAATGTTGTATACATTGGAGGATTTGCTGGCAAAAGTATCAAAGCATTTGGAGTGTGATATATGCCTGGAGAGTCTAATCCAAAATCAGGTCTTTTGGGCTTGTAAAGAATAAAAGATCAAGGAGGATTACTTTCAGGTTTGGACAACATGGTAAAACATGTATGATAACTGAAAAAATTTTCTTTTTTTATTGTCGAGCTCATTACTACTATATTGGTTAGTTTTCTGTCCGCATTTATGATAATAATAATCATGCATTTGAGCAAACCATCTCATCGGATCATAAAATGCAGCTTTTTTAAAGCTTGTGTTAAAAAAATATTTTAATATCAAATTATTAAAAAAAAATGTAGGAGCATTTAAGCATAATTCAATCTTATGACTTAGAATCAAGTATAATAATTTATTATTTTTCAGAAACCGTTAATTTGATTTAATATTCTGTCTATAAAGTTGTATAATTACAGTATGCATATATTCATTGCAATATTTAAAAAAAATTAGGTTTCAAAAAATCCGTCTCTAATTATTAAATGTATTACAGGTATAATAGTGCACAAATACATGATGTATTGTAAATTTTTTATTCTTTCGGTCTTATTTGAGCTGCAGAAAGAAAATTAGGAAATTTGACAGATAATAACAACTGATGAGGTTGAGTTGTCGCCTACCGAGCTCTCTAAGTTCTGTATCATTACTCATACACAGGTACTTCCCTTACTGCGAAACTAGTCTATGCAGAAAGAAATAGAACATGGTTTCTCTATTCTCTGTCTTTCTCAGTCTACTTTTATTACTTTTATTACTGTTTCAAACCCGTATTCAAAATCTGTATATAGAAGATCCATGCCACGAACAGATGTAATGCTTAACATGGTAAAAAAGAAATTATTCCGTTATTACATTTTATTAAGAAAATATAGTTTCCATTTGGGATACATTGACAAAATTTAATAATGCTATTTTACTTTTTTTTTTCATAACACCTCTACATTAGATTAATTTTCTTTGTAAGCTTTGCGATAAAATTTATATCTCTTATAGTAATATGATCATGAAGTTTCTCTGTAATTTCAAGATCATCTCCTAGTTTCTTGAAGCAGAAATAAGAGTAAAACAATAAATTTATTTCGATGAATAAAAAAGTATTATTTATTTGGGTAAATATATATATATATGTACATATTACATCTATCTCTTTGTATACCGTTTCTATTTCGTAATAGATATACACATTATATACATCATTTTCTAAGACAGTAGTGTGCATAATTACTGAATGAGCAGCAGCTATTTCTTTCTTTTGATGATGATTCTTCACATTTTGTTGGGATTAATTTTTCTCTTGGATCTATCTAAAGAATAATATGATATTGTGTTTTAGCCTTATTATATATTACTATTCAGATATTTACATAGCAATTATTATTTCTTTAAATATCTTTTCGTTTATTTCCGAAGTATCATCTTCATACTTCAATTGTGTTTCATAATCCTAGCTTAATTCTTCTTTTACAATTACATCCGAACCAAAGTAGTTTGTTTCATTATATTTTTGAGCTTCATTATAATCCTTCATTAAAGAAAAAGGAAAAAATGAGAAAATATTAAAATAATTGTATACATATTTAAAATGAAACAGAAAGTTATTCTACATTAAAAAATATCTATAAACTACATACTTCTTGCTTGTAAGAAATATCTTTACAGCTTTCTTATCTTTTAGGTTTAATATATTTTATAATTTAATTCTTTTATTCGTTGTCATTTGTTTATTCTTTTTTATTTTTTCAATCGCTTGATTTATCTTTGAAAAACTGTCTTCAATTCGATTGAGTTTTCCTTCCATCTCGTTTATCTTGTTTTCACATTGTACAATCATTTCTTCTTGTTCTTTGATTTGAATATCATTTTGTCGAGCACCATTTGCGATAATAATATATTTATCTTTTCTTTCATTTAATATATAAACTTTTAAGTTTCTAAAATATTATTTATAATAAAATATTATAAATTACCAATGTATTGTTTATTATAATTACAAAATGTTAAACTAATAATTAATTACCTTTACATGATCTTTCTTAAAAGTTAACTGTGACTTTATTTCTTTCATATAATTTTTCGTTTCTTCATCGCAACACAGATCCTTTATTTGGGAAGTACTACTTACTACATTATTTGAATTTGTTGGTAGTTCCACTTGGATTCCAGCATCGCAGTAATTATTGTCAATATATCTATTACAAGTAGATGTGGATTTTATATATTTAGA